CAAGATTTTCTTTATGTAATTTATCTTCATTTCGTACATATTAATCTCATCACTTGATCCCGAATAGTTATTTTTATATCCTTCAAACTTTATAAAAAGATGCATGTTGCTATTGTGACTTCTTGTCTCTTGTAGGGAGTACACTTGCTTTCACTACTTAAGATATCAGAAAATAATATTAAATTTTCATTTTATAATATCTATCATATTAACAATATCTTTGAAGAAAATCTCGAGCCTAACTAGCATCAGAAAATTCATAAGTCACAAAAGTTTATAACTTTGTAGAATGTTGATTGATTTTAATTTTCTCCGCATATCCATATTGATCAAACGTTGCTTACAAAGCATATTGTAAATCATTATTTGTAATTGAACTATATATTGGATAGAACGTAACTAAAATAAAATATAACTAAAAGAACACAGATTAACTCTATTCATGTTTTAAATCCATTAAGAATTCTTCTAACTCCAAAAAAAATTGTCTGAAGTATCAACTTGCTAACAAGTGAATGTAGAAGAAATTGGATCAAATTACAAGTGAATGTAGAAGAAATTCAATCAAACTAACCTTAAAAGTGAAAGAATACATTGGAAAATATCAAGAACCAGTATGAAAATATTAAGAACCAGTCGAGAGCCCTTAAAGTCAACAAAAGGAAATTGGTGGCAGAAGAGATGGTGTCAACCACCACCTGGTGGTGGCTGAAGATTGTGTTGGCCTACTTTTCCTTTGTTTAGCTCTTTTTTTCTATGTTTTATGAAGACGAAGGAGAAGCAAGGAGTATATGAAAGAAGAGAGGTTGTATGTTGGAAATTGAACTCTTGAGCACTTAGATAAATGTGATGAATCAAATTTAGACTCTGATACCAACTAACATAGGACAAAAAAAGCTCAAATAAAAAGCTTAAGAGAAATTTTATTAAAAACAAAATTTGAAGATCTCGGATCTTAATAACCAAAGAAATATTTCAATATATGAATAATAGTCATCAATATTCCACCTAATGACTAGGTCCCTTATTTATGGAGATCAAATACATCAAAAATAAGAAATCTAAAAAATCTAATAAATAGGAAAATAAGTTAAATAAAAAGAAGTATGAGAATAGAAAATCTAGAAAATAAGAAAATAAATTTTTCGATTTTCTTTTATTGGAAAACTTTCCAAAACTTAAAAAAAAAAAAAAAAAAAACTAAATTTTATATTTCTTTAGTTAACTTCTCAAAATATTTATTTTCTTTAGTTAGTTATGTTTCGTATCTCTTATTATTGAAATATACCTACATTAAAAGCTTTCTATTTCGTATCATTTGCGAACAAATCGAATTTAGTCTCTGATACCAATTGATGTAAGACAAGAAGAGCTTAATACAAAGTTCAGAGAAAATTTTATTAAGAACAAAAATTGGAGATCTCAGATCTCAACAACCAAAGTGATATTTCATTACATGAATTATAATCATCCATAGTCTACCTAATAATCAAACTAGGTATTCTATTTATAAACACCAAATACATCAAAAGTAGGAAATGTAAAAAGTTTAGTAAATAGAAAAATAAGTAGAAAGAACTAAGGAAATAGGAAATTTAGAAAAGAAGAAAATAAAGCTTTCCATTTTCCTTTATTGTAAAACTTTCAAAAATTTAGAAAGAAAATTAAATCTTTCTATTCCTTTTAGTTAGTTTTCAAAAACATTTATGTTCCTTTATTGGTTTTGTCTCATATCTCTTATTATTGAAATATGCCCATTTTAGAAGCTTCCTATTCTGCATAAATTAGTATACAACATCTAGGAGGGAAAAAAAATATTCTTTTCATGTGGGTTGATATTTTACAAGAAACGGATCTAGCTTCTACCAACATTATAACTCATTCCGGCTATCATTTTAGTCTTCCATCAAGTGGGACATGGAGGGTATTAAAAAAAGACCACAATGCATAATCGGTAAATTTTATTAAAAGGGGCAAAAATAACAAGTCTTAGACTTTATTTGCACTTGTACTAACTAGCAAGGCCACAAAGCCAGGTATCACCAACTCCTATCAATTCCTCACCATATTTGGTCTGATGTGTCCATAGATTTCATTAGTAGTGTTGAATTTTAAGAGAAAAAATAAATAATTTTATTTCTCACATTTTAAATTGTTACACTTGAATATTTATAAAATACCTATTTTACTAATAGAGAAATTTCTATTCTAATAAACTTCTAATTACATTAAATTATCTAATTAAATAATAAAGTAATTTAAATAATAAAATAGAAAAATATCCTATTCAACACCCTCCAAGTTGATGCAGGGATGTCTTTCATACCCAACTTGCAAATCAAGTTGCAAACTAAAATCAAATATGTTAAGCAGTAGCACAGCTTGGTTTGGCCCAAAAACGGCTCAGGTTCGGCTCAAAAAAGGGCTCGAACTCATCTAAAAAAGGCTCGAACTCAGCTCAAAAAAGGGCTCGAACTCGGCTTGGCTCAAGTCTCATCTCGGCTCAAGCAGATCTGTGCAAAGTAGAGATCGCAGCCAGAAAAGCTTCCTGTCGAGCGGCTCTGCGTGCGGCAAAGAAGAAGCTGGTTGCTTGGCACTTTGCGCGGCTCTGCGGGCGGAGGAAAGAGAACTAGATCGTGTAGCTCTGCGCACGGCGGAAGAAGAAGCTGGATTGATCGGGTTTTTTTCGCGCGTCTTTGCACGCAGCTGAAGAAGAATAGACCTGGGGTTAATGTGTCCCTACACGCGACTGAAGAAGAACTTACTTGAGGCGAATGCGGCTCTGCACGCGGTTGAAGAAGACGGATTCTGAGGCTCTCTCTTCGCGTGGCTTTACTTGCAATGGAGGCTGGCTGCTCACTTTCTTCCTCTGCTTTGGCCTCTTTTCTTCTAATCTCCCTCTCTTCTGATCTGAGTATTTCTATTCAGTCTATTTTGCTATTTTTGCGTTTGGAAAGAATCCTACAATTAGAACCCTAAAATAACTTTATTTGACTTTGATACCATGTTGAATTTTAGGAGAAAAAAATAAATAATTTTATTTCCCACCCTTTAGGTTGTTACACCTAAATATTTATAAAATACCTATTCTACTAATAAGGAAATTCCTATTCTAATACACTTCTAATTACATTAAATTATCTAATTAAATAACAAAGTAATTTAAATAATAAAATAGGAAAATATCCTATTCAATAAGTGGCCTTCCACCATCCCGTGAAAAAATAGTTCTCTTGGTTATTGTTGACAGAATTTCTTAGTACAAATATTATTTTCTAATAGTTCATCCTTATACCGCGGTATCCATCTTTGACTTTTATTTGATAATATTTTCAAGTGTCATGGTTTGCCAAAGCCTATCAAAAGCGAGCGGGACATCATTCTCACAAGTGCCTTTTGGCAAGAGCTTCTTAACCTAAGAGGTAAGAAACTCTTGTTTAGTAAAGCTTATCACCCTTAACCGAATAGTCAAAAGAAAGACGACAACTGCATGATTGAAATTTACTTGTAATGTTTCACTGATGACCGAACAAAGGCGCTAGTTGGATTGGCTTTCTTGGGTTGAGCATCATTATAATACTAGGTATTATTCTACCTTGAAGACCACCCGATTCCAAATGATACATGGCTGAAACCCCTCCACAGCTACTTTCATAATGCCCTAG